TTGAGAAGATCAGTTAATACTTGAAGATAGTAATCAGAAAGTAGTATATGATCTTATTACTGAAAGATAACTTAATACCAGTATGATCTTGAAAATACCTCAAAGACCAGAACTAATAATAGAAGAAGCCTCAATTTTAACAAGTAATTCACAGAGTAATCCTAGAGTAAAATGATTTGTGGATATAATCAATATTGAAATTTTGAGAATAGTAATTACAGCAAATATTACTTATCAATTTCAATCTGAGCAAAGCTAGAAGACAAGAATTCAAACTATATTTAATGATCTATTTGAAAATCATAATAATTAATCTGATGAATTACAATTCATTAGATATTGTTACTTTGAATAATTATTAAAAGAAATGCCTAAACATTACTCTTAAAAATTAATGGAATTACAAAGAGAAATAGCATAATCAAAAAGAGTTACTTTGATCAGAAGATACTTTCTTCTTGAAAAATGAATTCACCAGCTATTAGAAAAATATAGACTTGAAAAAGCATATACTTCTAACAAATTACTTATAATAATCTTGTATATATAAAAAATAAAGAAATCAAAGAAATTTTGAAAAGAATTTAATAGTTTTACTAAAGCTTAATCTTACTTAGAGGGACCAAATATTATCATAGTAATATAAATTTCTTTAATTTTATAATTTTTTGAACTTGAAAAATTTGACTAATCAATCAATCTTTAGAAGATATGTAATTTCAAATAATATAATTGGTGTATCAGTTATAGATTTAGTCATGATTCAATAATGTTTTTGTAATATTCTTGCAATATTTTTGTAATATTTAAAGATTATCAATGAATAATTAGTTCTGAAATCAATAACAGTTCATAAATGATTTAATAATAGTTCAGAAATGCTTCAGAAATGATTCAACAATGAATTTTATTTGTTTTTATTATTTATCTTTTCTTTTTAGAATATTTATCTTATCTTTTCATTTATTTCATCATTTATAATATCATTTAACTTACCATATGTATCTTATCTCTTATTTTTACTTGTTTATTTATTGATCCTTTGTCCCAAAGATTATAATTATAATTTAGAGTAGCAAATAAGTTTAGATAGAAACTTATAAAATCTCAATGATATATAAATATCTCTGCTCTGAGATCTGAAATAAATGTACTTGAATAGTAATAATTCAATTGTCTTTTGAAAATATTTGAGTTATACTTATCTTATAATTTTCCTTTGATTTTTACCTTGATAACTTACTTTCATTTACCTCTTCTATTGTAATAGATTATATTTTGATTATTTATAAGTTTTCCTTGCCTGAAAAAACTTAGATAGTGAATGTTCTCTACTTAAAATAAGCCAAGTATATTTTATTTAATTAAGGAGATTCTTGTAAGCTTTTCCATATATAAAAGCTTAGTTTTGTTTTGGTATATACCCTTTGTTTGCCTAATAGTTGAAAAGATATTGTTAGAGGATTTAGTTGGCATAGTAAATCTTTTGTTTTAGTTATAGTATTTGTTATTTTAGTTTTAGGTACCTTTCCCTTAGTTTAGTTTTCATGATCATAACTTTGTTTTTATATTTTTGTTTTATTTCATTTTTGTCTTGTGTTGATATAATACTTATAAGTATTGGCATTAAAAAATCTTTAGAATAATTATTATTCTCTTAATCTTTATAAATAATTCAGTCTTTGTCCTCAAAACTTATTATAAACTATATTTATGATAAAACCTATCTTCCAGAGTATAGTTTGTAATAATAATTAGAATAATAAGATTAATTTAATCTTGTTTATCTATAAAATTATATGATAAAAAATAATTAAATTCTTATTTTATCTTTTAACTTTTAAAAAACTATTATAATACTAATTAATCTTTAATTTAACTTAATTTAAATAATAAAAAAAATATTATAACTTTCAGAAAAAGATTATTTTTAATAATAATCTTATAAAATATTAGAAGAAAAGCAAAGAATAATCTCAAAAATACAAGTAAAATAAAGCAAAATATCTTGTTTTATTTAATAATTTCATGTTAATAATAATATTTTATTATATTAAATATAATTAAAACTAATAAAATATAAAATTTAAGAAATATTAGCTAGAACTATTTCAAATTCACAGCATTCTAAAAAATAATGTCTACAAGTTATGATCAAAATTTTTTATCATAAAGCTCATGAAAACAAATTAAAAAGATATTATAAATCTGATAATCCAGTAAAAATTTATGATTGTTATGATGCTAAAGAGAGCTCTGTACTAGAAAATAAAGTAATAATTAGTAAAATGATTGATAGCAGAACTATTATTTTGTAAAAAGAGAAATAATATATTATAGCATGAAATTAAAATATATTATCATATAGATCCTGGTCTATATGATACTGTATTAGATATGGGATCAGATTTCATGATTTGTAAAATTAGCAAGCCATAATTGATATATCATTAGAAAGAATGATCTGATGTAGAGTACATCAATAAATCCCAAATATATGAAGATGTACCAATAGGATGTCAACTAATGAATCAAAATAAAAATGATTCATTAGCCTTGGCATTGTGATAAGAGTGGAATCATGATGAGAAAAGTGGGAGAAAATTTTACTATAAATAGAGAAGACTTTAGAGTAAAGAAGAAAAAAGAATTAGAACTATAGCATTAATTAATAAAGTTAACATTTGTAACAAATCTCTTGAAATAAAATAAAGTTTATCATTTTTAATACACACACACTCCTTTTGAATTATTATCGGTCTGTCCCAAAGCCTTTGATTAAGAAAAGTAGTCTACCTTGAGACTACGCGAATTATTATAAAGAAAAACCACCTTTTTAGGTAGGAACTAGCGACACCACTATTGAAGAGAAAGTCGATCGGGCAACTCGACAAGAGGTCGGTAGCGATTGACGTAATAACGAATTAGTTAACGGAAAACGCGGAAAATAACTAGAGATAATCCCGTGATCGTACAGTCTCACAGTTTACTCGGTAGAATCCCCACATTCAATCCACCGGGTATGTAATGATTATTCGGGTGCTTAAGTTCCCATTAAATCGCTTCTCATAAAGTGTTTTATCGTTATTGTTACCTCATTATCTTGTTACAAAAGATGCAAGCATATATATGCGTTCACCTTATGTTTACGGACAAAAATCATTTCAAAGATATTTTCTCTACGTTAATTCTCAAATAAGTCCTTTTTGAAAATTCCAAGTGTCTCATTCCAAAATCAATAAAACAGATAAAATCGCCAAGTCCTTCAAATAGCTCCTCTCAACCTTTGGAATTCGTTATGTAGAATGTGAATCTCCAATGAGTATAAGTAACAAAAGATTTCTTTTATAATTTTTAAAACGTTAAGATGTTCTTGAATCTGTCTTTTAATACGGGTACTTTAGCAAAGTTTTTTCAGTAGTATTATGTAATATTGCTATCCTGGCAGTTTCCCCGTATTCAACATCAACAATATTATTATTATTCGTTTTTGTAATAATTGCTCGATTGCGTGTCAATATCAAGACAGACATGGTTTTATAATCGTCAAAAATTTGGATGCACATATCTCATTTTATTTCAGTCTAAAGATCGATTGTTTTAACATCGTTATTATTGACAGGTTCTTCAACCTGCTAATTTTCAAGCAAGAAAATGGTGTTCGTAATAATAGCTATATAAAACTGAGTATTGTCCTTTATTAAAAGCAGGGCCTATTCGAACTTTGATATTTGAATTGAATTGGGGCTTTTTAACGAATGGTTAAGATTATCTTGATGGTACATGTATGGGTTTATTCTGAAGCTGAACCTTTCATAAAAAATCAAAAATTTCACTTTTTCTTTCTGATTAGGAATAATCTTATTTTTATTATTTTTCTTTAAGTATGACCACAGGTCTGTCTACACATGAAACATCTTGGGTATATGATCGATTCCATAAATCAAAGAGATTAATATGAAATTTGATTTCTTTTTATATATTATAATTATGTTTAATGACAACATCTCTTTTAAATATTAATAGGAAGCTACAAAATCTTCGCGAAACTTGAACAACTTCCCGAGCATGTCACACATCTTTATTTGAGCGCATTTCAATCTAATACTATCAGCGAGTTTAAAATACGTGTATGATGAATCGCAACCAGATAAATAATTAGCTATTTACACTCTTCAGGAGACTTCTAATTGCCTTAAATGAATTCTATTGGGAGAAAGATGTTCGGAAAATGAATAAAATCTTTTACGCACATTAGATCTGCAAATTTCTAATTTTTCACGTATTAACGTTAAAAATGCGAATGATCGAATCTCGAATGAACGACATTCCGCAAAATCGAAAGTCATACGAAAGATCGAATCTCAAATGATTTAAATTCCGAACAGAAGATTGAAATCACGAAAATATAATACCAAAAATGCATGAAATATTACAATTATCCCGATTTCGGGATTCATGCTTTCGGGATTTCGATCTTTCGGGATGTCGTTCATTCGGATTTCGACCATTCGGGATGTGCATGTAAACTTGGAACCACTTGTGAATTTTTATAGGGAGCTTTATATCAAACTATTCAATATATATATATACGATAAATTAAAATGATATTTCATTTTAATCTGTCGAATACAATTTTATATAAATGCACATAAAAACGACAATAGTTCAAAAAACATCAAAAGATCTGACGACTATTTAAATTTCCAAATACTGTTCGTAAATAGAGTTATATATCGATATGAACATGTTAAAGATTTCCCGACAAATCAGTTGAAACATTTATGTCAACTATTTCTGAGTTCAAACAATATTATATATAACATGTTTATGTATAAAGAATTTTTGGAAACAATTACGCAATAGTCTATTTTTGTCAAATCCATCAAAATTCAAAGGATCAATTATATGACATTAATGGATCACGCCTTTCAGTAATTCATAAAATTTAGTGTTAGATACCAATACAGAATGACGATACTACATTTACAAATTACTCTTTACTGAAAGCTAAAGCGTCGTCCAGCTAATTCGAGTATTGTCGCCTTATCGATTTCGCTAGCGTTACTTTTCAAGGATTTATTGTCATTGGGATTGAGCAACTTCTACAATAAAATTAACGGCAAATATTTTAATTAATAGGTTGACAGAGAAAAAAAGAGAAGCTAATAATTTCCATACGTTATGGATAAAATTCGGTTTCTTTTTCTCATCGCCGAAACGATTATTTTTGAGAGAAAGAGATTGTATAGACAGATTCAAATTCGAAAGGAAGGCATCCATAGTTTTATATTCCTACAAAATGCAAAAAATAAATTCAGAAAAATAATCACCACTGTTATATAAATTTGTCATACCTTTCCCAAATATTCAACATACTGCTCTATCGGAATCTTATTCTCATCCAACTGACTCGTGTCATTTGCTTTTAGATACTCATTTCGTAGTCGAAAGAAATGATTGGCTTTCTCTAACGGACTTAACGTTGGATTAAAAAGCCACTCCCAATCTTTTAATAATGAAAAGGTTACGATTTGATTTCAATAATGATATCATTATTTATTCTAAAAAATAGAAACAATTAGAAAACCTATCATTACTCTTTTTTCGTGATGACGACGTCTTTTCTTTCCTCGTAAGATTCTGTAACTCTGTGTTGAGTGATACCAGTTTGCCTTGTAAGTCGTTAATAATTATTTGCTTCTGGTGATTCCCTTCTGTGAGAGACGCTTTTGATCTTTCGAATGACGAAATCATGCTACTTAGCATCTAAATAAATATATTATGGTAAATAAAGTAATTTTAGATTTTTTTTAAAATAAAAACAAAAATCTAAGTACCTCTATCTCATGCTTATTTTCGCTAATTTGTTCTCTTAATAAGTTATTTGATGATACAAGTGATTCTATAATAGCATTCAGCATCTATTTTCGAAATTGAAATTTTAAATTTGAATTTTAAATATCGTAACTTTTAAAAACATAGAACAATAACTTACATTGGTTTCACTGTCTTTTGATTCCTTAAAATGCGTCAGTTCAGAATCAAAAACAGCAATATTATCTTTTAGCCTTTGAATTTGCAATTTCTGATTATGGTTCTCATCTCGAAACGCTGCTTCAGATTCTTCCAATTTTAAAATAATCGATATTAAACGCTACAAAGTTATAAGTAAAAATTTAGTATTCAACGTCCTGAAAAATAATATTATTAAAAACAAAAAAGCATTTTTACATTAATCTCTTTGGTTGCTCGATTGATAATACAATTTTGTTCAGAATTCTGTAATTCCAATTGCTGAAGCTGTCGCTCAAGAATTATTTGCTGTAAAGTTTTTATGGTAAATCAATTTCAATACTATTATTTCTTTTAAAACTAACAAGAACTTTAGAATTTTTACTTCATGTTTTGTGTCTACTAATTCTTCGGCGTATTTCTTGATTTTGCATTCGAGACTGTTACTTAAAAACAATATTGAGGCTGTTACTAAATATATATTAAATGTAATAAAAGACTAAACACCCTAATCTAAACATCGTATGTTTTAACTACTTACATGTCAAATTCTTGAGTGATAAGTTTGATTTCTTGCGATCTGTTTTGTTTAACTTTTTCATTCTATGCAAGAAATTATATTTACATTAATATTTTCGTTTCGAAATTTATAAAATATGGTGAGGTTTTTTAAGAAATACACACACCTTTTCTCGATCTATCAATTCACATTTCAATTCAAGTAAGTCACAATGTTCACGTAATTTCTTCTATTAAAGCCACAAAAAAAGTTATTATTTTTTTTAATTTCAATGAGTGTTGTTAAAACTCGCCGGTGGAGTCCAAATTAATTTATCTCCAGAACTAAACATTGGCCTTACTCTAATTTATCCATGGTTCGGGCACCGGTGAGCTTTAACAATTTTCTTTTTCAATAGCAAATGATTGTTTACATTACATTTTCAAACTCAAGATTTTGAATAATAGTCTTCAATTTGAAATGCTCGGTCTGGCAAAAAACCTATAAAATGTATGATTATTCATATGCCCACTATCAACAGCAAAACTCACAAAACGGAATCTTACCCCGTGTTCTAAAGAAATGAATGAATCGTTTGTCATTAGCTAGTTATAAATAAATTAATTAATAAGTCCTAAAGAAATATCATATACGGATGGTCGAAATAGCGTCGTTTATTTTTATAATGATTTTTTTTCTCTTTCTTTAAGAACTTTATTTAACATTTGGGCGAGCACTCCTTTTATAAAAAAAATAGCTAACGCTAAATAGGCTAACAAACCTACATGTATTAGTCATAAGTGCTATGCATGTATTACATGAATATTAGCGTTAGCATATATGTACAAAGAAAAAGATTAGATCATGATAAATTAATGGAATAAAGTATTTCAAAGCACAAAAACTGTAATTGGCTGAAAAGCGCACACTTACATATTATATTACATGAATCAAGAAAAAATCTCGGAACAAAATTTCCTTATTTTTATACGATCGACAACAAACAGTTGATAATGTCAAAATGAACATGTACATGCTATATCGATATGCAGAATTTTTTGTCTTTTAACGGTGACGATTGACATTCTACTTTATCTCGATTCGGTTTTTATCGATAAAAGAAGTTTGCCATCAACTATTTTTTATTCGTCAGAACGGGTACATTACGTACAAGCCACAGTTTAGCAAGGTCAGATGTCGTAATATCTTTTGGGACGGCACCTCCTTTATTACAATACATTTGATTTCTGCGCGTATTCTAATGTTACCACCAAATTATCAATTGAATCTTTCTCTCATTAAACCCTTTAATGGTACGCCTAGTGAAGTTCCTGCTAGGACAATTTGAATTTATGGTAATTGTAAGATATAAAACTGAAATCCTTCATATTTTGCATCCTCGTGATTTCCATACCGTTCTAATTATAACATACACTTTTGGCAATTTCACCAGATATCTACCGTTACGTGTTTCAGTAAGTTTCATAATGATCGACGTATTAATTGTATTAATTGTATTACAATATCTACGGATATTGTATGTTCAAAGGGGCAAGTAAAGATAAAATAACTTTAAGAAATGAAAAGAATCAATATTATTTAAATTATATATAATAATTCAACTTACTCTAAATAAAATAATTTATTATTATTATTTTATTTTGCTTTATTTATACAAAGCTCATACAATTCTTTTTTTAGTTTCATTGCTCAATAATTATATATTTATCTAATCTAAAATAATAATTAGATAGATCTGATGGCAATCAAAGCTTGAATTTTTTACTAATTGTAATTAGTAAAATGCCATGTTTTTATTACATATAGAAATTTTTAATTTTATTTTTTTTATATTTAGATCAAAATGATGCTAAAGTTCTTTATTAGATATATATTTTTGAATTTTTCTAAGAGTTATTCTAATTGCATATAAAGTCAATTCATTTTTATTATTAATTAGTAAAAATTAATTGATATATAGTAATAAGCAAAAGTATCTGATATGCTATAACTTTTAAATTGAAAATTAAATGTCTTGAATTTTTAAGTATAGATAATTTAATATAAATTTAGATTCTATGGTTTATTTATAATTTTATAATTACTATAACAAAATTCAAATGAGAGCTAAATTTAAAATTAAATTTTTATATAAATAAAAAAATATTAATAAATGCAATAAAAATAACTATATTAATAATTTTCAAATTAATATTTTTTAAATTAAAATTTTTTAAAATTTAATATATTAAAATTTAAGTATTTTTATATTAATAACAAAAGATTTGAATAATTTAATAATTTGAATTTATTAAATTTATATATATATATATATATATATATATATATAAACAATTTAATATCAAATCTAAACTTTAATTTTTCAATAACTGATTTATTAATTATATTGAATTTATTTATTAATATAAATATGCTTAAATTTTTATATAATGATTTTTAATTATTTTAAACAAAAAATTTTAATATAAAAATTATAAAAAATCAAATATTTTTGTTTTTATTATATATAACTAAATTAATTCTCTTATAAAGAATTCAAAAAATCATATATTAAAATAAAAAATATTTGTTAGTAAAATTAAAAACTTTTATATATAAGAAAAATTATGTATTTTACTAATTATAATTAATAAAAAATTTAAATGCTATATTAATTTTGATTATTACTATATTCTAATTATAAAAGAATTTTTTTAATTTCTTGATTAAAGTTTTTTATTAATTAAATAATCTGAATCTTATTAGAATTTATATTTGAAAAGTTTTAAAATTAATTAATTAGATTATTATTATTATAATAATTTTAATTAAATTATATTTATTTTAGTTTAAATCTTTATTTTATTATATTTTATCTTTTATATTACTTTTATAAAAATTATTTTTACTTTAAATATATGGATAATAATTATATATATAATTAATTTAGATTTATATATATTATTATATAAATAATTATTATATATTTTCTAATTATTAATTTAGATAATTAATATTTTTAATTAGTTTTATTATTAATTATTTCTTTATATTTTTATTATTTTTTATTTATTATTATTTACAGTATATCAAAAAAATAACTGAAAATTTTAATCTTAGTTATATTTAATAAATATTTATTTAATTCATATAAATTTTAAATATATATGCTTGATAATCTAGTGAAAAAGTTTACTTAAAAGTATCTAATAGCTTATCTTAATAAAATATTTTATAATTAATATTTTTTTTATTAAATTTTTTTTTGAAAAAATTAATTAAAATATATATAATTAATAATTTAGTAAATAAGTTTACTTAAAATTAATTTACAAAATAATAATTAAATTCATAGTAATTTATTATTATTAAAGATTCCTTATTAAATTTTTAATTTTAAAAATATAAAATTTAATAAGATAAGTATTCAAATAGTCTTAAATAAAGTTATTTATTATACTCTCAAGTATATATATTTAAATTTTATGTTATTTAAATAAATATTTATGAAGAAAATTAAAAATTCCAGTTTTTTTTGACATATTGTATATTATTTTTAATCATTATTAATTTATTAAATTATAATTTATTACTCTCTAAAAATATAAATTATATTAATTAATTATATTTAAATCATATATATTTTAAATTAATAATTTATTTATATTTAATATTTATTTCTTTTTTATAAATATATTCTTTTTATTTTATAATTTTATCTTAGATCTAAATACTATTATCATAGTAATATAAAATTTCTTAATTTCCTAATCTTTTCTTGGTTATGAGAAATTATATTTTTTTATAATTTTTATTTATCTTATAAATATTCTTATTTTCATATTATATATTACTATATTTATTATCACACTTCTATTTTTAAATACTATATTTTATTTTTATTCAAGATCTATATTTTTGTAATATGATATTCATGTATATAATAGAATAGTATAGTGGAAGATTATTTTTAATTTTGGTGAAACAGTTATATTTAGAATATTGATTACAAATATTTTTTCATATTCTTTGATATTCTTTCATATTCTTTGATATCTTTCATATCTTTCTATATCTTTTAATATCTTTTAATATCTTTTCACATCTTTCAATATCTTTTTACATTTTCAATATCTTTCAATATTCTTTTACATTCTTTAATATTCTTCAATATTCTTTAATATCTTTTAATATGCTTTGATATATATATTTCTAATTATTTATATTATAATACTTTAATTATAACATATATATTAAATAGTATTAGCTAGTAATATAATATTTATATTTTAATAAAATAATAAAATATTAATATTGTAATATTTAAACTTTCATAAAATAATAAAATACTAATTTTATAATATTTATATTTTGATAAAATGATAAAATATTAATATTATAATATTCTAATATAACAAATTATAAATCTTTATAGTTAAAATATTTTAAAGTATTAATATATATATTTAGATAGTATTAATTAGTAATACTATAATAATTCATATATTTAAAAAATATATAAAAGAATTTGCTATCTTAGCTTGAAATAAATAATTATTTGAAAAATATAATTAAAAAACTTATTATTATAATAATAGTAATCTTTTAATTTCTTTTTTTAATTATATTAGTATTCTTTTTCTTGCTTAATTTTATTTTTTTAATTATAAAAAGTTGATTTTGATTTGGATATAATATTATATTAATTTTAATTTTTAATATTATTTTTATATTTTTAGAGAGTAAAAGATCTTTACTATAAATAAGCTATTATTTATTTTTATTTGTTTTTAAGAGTAAAAGATTTCTACTATAAATAAGTCATACTCTTTTTAATTAAGTTATTTTATTATTTATTTTAGTTTTTATCTTTTTTTTAATTATAATTTTTTTTGATTAATAGTAATTTTACTTTAAATCTGGAATTATAATTAATTAATAAGGACTTTACTTATTAATCTTTATAATTTTCTTGATTTATATTATTTTTTTATTTTACAATTTATTTTTTTAAAGATAATATTTATAAATATTGATATAGATCTTAAAAATCTTTGTTAATATTAAAGTATACAGTTTAATTCTCTCTCTTTTTCTTATTATTTAATTTGATTTCTTTTAATCCAATATCATTAAGATAAATCTAAGTGAAAACTCACTTATCAAATTTGTCATAATATATTTTTGATACTTTCACTATGAAAATAAACTCATTATAATTCATCTTTATATTTATACTCTTTATATTCTTTTATATCTCTTCTATATTCTAGTATCTAAGTAATTAATAAATAATTATGTCTTGAGTTTTTATGATTGCTTATTATTCTTTTATTAAATTATCTATTAATTATCATTTGAAAGTATATCAAGATTCTAATTTTACTATTAGAATACTCTTTTAATACTTTTATACTTATTATTATTTTCTTCAATTAGAATTTTTTTTATAATTTTGAACTTTTCATTTGCTTACTGAAAATATTAGAGCAGTATCTGTAAATTAAATCACATATTTATTATTTAATGAATTAATTCAACTTGATCTTAATAAAATATATACTATCTGACTTAAATAGAGAATAGTATAATTATTAAATAT